TAAAAAAATACAAAGTTACAAAATATAAAAAAATATGCATGGATAGTTAAGACGTACTGGCATAGACGATTGAATGCAATTGTCCCGTCAGACACGGGTGACACATGAGATGTTACATCCGTATATCTTAGATGCACAGTCGTATTGCATGCCCTGTAAACTAGACATGCTACATGGAAAATGCGCGTATTAAGAGATATGACGATGTTTACAAATTAAAGATGAGATTATTCACAAAATGTTACATATATATATATATATCTGTCTGTCACAACCAATAACAGAATGATTTATTCTATTTTAATGTAAATCCTAATGTATTTTAAGTAAAACTAGAAATATACTTTAACAGAACAAAAATCAAACTTGTAATCGGATTATCCATCACACGGATTGCAGAAATATAAATAGAAGCATGTAGATTGTTGTAAAGGTCACAATCGCAATGGAAGAAGTATAGTTTTGTGAAAGGTAAACTGACGTCCAGATTCAGAAGAACAAGCAACAGAGGTAACATCATTTTTATAAATCCAGTGTGGTGGTTGTCCCTTGGCACATATAACATCATTGATTTATTTTTAATTAACTTTAATTATTAGATTAAAATACATTAGTTAAAACACCTAGCAGGAAACAAACTGAAATACATCGAAATACCATGAAACTTACAATCTGTTGTCTGCCATTTCCATATACAGAGGCATGATATGATCAATGTACTGTTTTACTTCTTTTGGTAACTCATCTATGTTTATGTGAGATTGAGCTAGAGGCTGAAAGCAACTGCTTTCAATCGCGGTTTTGAAATACAGTTCTAAAACCTGTGGATTTTTCTGAGGATCAGGAAAATGGTGTAGGTTTCCTGGTTTCCAATTTAAGAAGTTCTCATTAAAGGAAAGACCCGTTGCTAAGCAATATTTTTGTAAGGTTTCTTTTGGATTTCTTATCAAATCATCTGATTCTACGATTATTGCTGGTAGATTTAATTCATTTGTGACGTACTTATAAAATCTGTAATTTTCTACAAAACGATGAACCTCAATGACATATTTTAATACATCTCGGACACCATATCCCATACGGCTGCATTCCGCTAGAGCACACTTGTACGAGGACATGATGGATGCCTTTGGATCACGAATAAGGAATGTGTGAATATAACCCGTGGGTAGGTATTTATAGTTTTTCTTCCTCCAAGACACCCTGCGTTATCTTTCATGAAGATAGCACTCTTTTCTGGACACGACGTTTTCTCTAATCTATCTTTCACTTCTTGGTATCTGTATCCAGGAATTGGAGGACCCCTACTGTAATCCTCGTGACATATTCTTTCCTCCCCTTCACAATAAGCCATAACAAATTGTTCATGGAAAACTTTAATTGAAGGTTCTCCTGCAATTGCTAATTCAAATGCAGTTGATCTCGACCTGCCATGTGCCCATAACGCCACTCGCAGAGATGGCGCTATATCGCTAAAACGAGCTGCCATTGTCACTCTATGTACAATAAACGTCCACCTACTAGGAACTGAAAGTCTGTAATGGAAAAGAGAACAATAAATTAGAATCCCATTGCTGGCATTTCTGTCAATTACAAAACATTGTTGGTTTATTTTAAAACATATATTTATGTAATATGGTAGACAATTTATGTATGCATATTAGTATTTAATTGTTTCGAATCAATCTAAATTGTATGATGGTTGGATTCACTGATATGATGATTATAATACAATAAAACTATAACATTATCAAACGTGTTAAACATCTCACTAAAAATCGACGATTGTGGGGTACGTTATAATAGTGGCATCTCAAGTCCATGGGTGAATAATAATAATAATTATAATTGTTAGTATACACCTGTCACCATAACGGCATAAGTTACATTTATATTGGCGATCCTCTCCGTTAGTAGCACGGTCGAGAGAATATTTTCTGTCCAGCGCATCGTATTTAGTTATTTTTTATGTTTATGATAGCTATTGTGTTGGTTTTATAAAAATCAAAACAACCGATAAAGTTATGAAAAAATCGATAATATGAAAAAAACACACGTAAAAACGATGTCTGGCCGCCTATGATTGAGCACTGTAATCATGTTATCAATTTATGTTGATTTGCTTGATAAGCTAATTTGTTCCATATCACAACAAACAATTGTTTTTGTTCAAAACGTGATATGTGACCTTTAAACTTGACGGAGTGCAGAGCACTGTCGTGTCTACACCCCCTTGTCAATGTACCAGCAACATTCTCGTAAGCCACGGCACCTGAACCAACCAAGTATGTCAGAGCAGAACTATATAATGAGTTGCGTATACTCGAGTAAGCTACGTTTATTTATTTTTTGGAGGATGATATTAATAGATATTCAAAACGTGGTTCAGTTATTCTGAGAGAAAAATGCTACAGTCTCAAGAGGAAATACAAATGACTAATAATAAAGAAAAAGAATTTTAAAAATGATATATTAAACAAGCTCGAAAGTTTTAGCAAATCAAACCCCGGTGAGTACTGAAATCTATTAGGAGAGCTAAAAGACACCAAAATAAACAATGTCTCTGATAATGTTGACAGGCAAACCTGGTTTGAATGGCTTAGGAATGTCACAGTGTAAGGCCTGTATATCGCAATTGAGAGGGCCACCAACAGAACTCACACTCAGGGGGTTCTTTCACTGCTAGTATGTGGTAGACAAGACTATTGTACTGGAAATGAAATACACATACATCAAAATATCAAGTTAAAGCTCCTGGCTTTAATACCTCTCAAAATAATTACAAGAAAGCACAGACAAATACAATGAATAAAGTCATTAAAATAGTGGATTGCTTGGGGAAGTGTGCATTGGTTCCAGGATGTATTATTGGACGACAGTCAATGGCTTCTGCAACACAACAACGGAGAAATACAAGAGTCTGGCTTGCAGAGGAATGCAGGTATTCTGCAGGGCACCGCTGAAAGCAGGAGATCACAGAGCAGTTCATACAAGTCTCACAGAATGATGGCTGTAGCCTGTAATATCGTATCGTAGCAGAACACACAGGAAAGCAAGTTGAAGTGACGGACACCAAGTTGAAATGATCGACCCAAACTGTCTTTAGTCTGTCCAATGTATAGGCAGTGACACCACCTGGGTTTTTACATGAGCCAACCAGAATGTAATCTTGCTAGCAGCTGTGTCACGTAGATCACAAACATCCTTTGTTATTCAAATAACAGCACACCTGGTAGATTCCAATTCTCCTTCCAAAGTTGTAAACACCCTTTGTTATGTAAATTACAAGCACACCTGGTAGAACCCACTGTCCTACCAGAGTTGAAACAAATATGACCTGTCAATCACCTTTATGACAGTTATCACAATACACACCGTTTCTTCCCATGATTCCATGCACTCTTCCATTTGCAGAGTTTGAGGTAGTATGACAAAAACATAAAAAAAGGGATGCTGACAAGGAACATGAGTAAAACAAGTAATAAAATGAGCGAAAACCCATAGCAGCTGCAACTTAAAAATCATGAATCAGTCTCTCTACCAAAAGCCAACTTAGACAAGCACATCTCACAATTAGAAATCCAAATGCTATAACTAAACTAAAAAAAAAGCTACAGACGCAGATAAAATTACCAATGAAATAATCAAGGCCAGCAGGAACCCATTAGTAAAACCATTACATAAACTATTCAAAGTAATCCTGCAGAGTGGATACATACTTAATTTAGGAATGAACCCCCTATTTTAAAAAAAAGGAGACAAATCCAAACAATTACAGAGGCATCACACTTCTTCATAGTATCTGTAAACTTTTCACCTCCATTCATAAACAACGGCTTTTGAAACGACAAAAGGAAAACAACACAATTATCAGAAAACAAATAGGATGCATGCCAAACTGTAGCACCAAAGACCATTTATTTGTTCTCAAACAACTAATCACAAAATACCTAAGACTTTGTTGCTTGTTTCATTGACGTCCAGAAAGCCTTCGATTCCATGTGGTAGGCGCACATGGAGAAGTGGTGGTATTACAGGTAAATTCTACAACATCATAAAATCCATTTATCTGAACTCAACAGGATGTGTTAAACTTAAACAGGGTGTAACAGACAGTTTTACAATTACTAGAGGCATTAGACAGCGGGGTGGACTCAGCCCACTTCTTTTTAATATTTATGTAAATGACATCCAAACATCATTAGACTTGGCTCGTAATAACCCGCCAGTTCAAGTCTCTTAAACACAACTCTCCCATGTCTGCTATATGCAGACGACCTTGTAGTGTTATCCCAATCACTTACCGGCTTACAAAATGCCATAAATGCTCTTGAAAATTACTGTCAGAAATCAAAATCTTCATGTTTAGTAGGTCAAGAAAATCACAGGACAAATTCAAATTCTATGTTGATGGGAAAGAACTTGAAAATACAAAAACCTACACATACCTCGGCATTAAACTACAGGAATCAGGTAAATTCACCAGAGCACAAGAAGACCTCAGTGCTAGAAGAATGAAGGCATGTTTCAAAATGAAACAAATGCTAATTTCACAAAAACTAATTCCAATCAAAACATACTTAAAAATGTTTGATGCAATTGTAAAGCCAATTATGCTTTACTGCAGTGACATTTGGATCAGCGAGAACATCAACGATTCGCATCTTATGGCAAATCTGTCTACACCAATGGAAACAGTACAAATACATTTCTGCAAATACCTTCTAAAAGTAAACAGCAAAGCAAGATATTTGGCAAGCATACTAGAGTTGGGAAGATATCCACTCCTAGCAACAAGTATAAAATATATGATCATATATTGGATCAAAATAAATAATTCTAACCCAAATTTGCTTGTACATGAAGCTTACAATCTTGGAATACTTCTTTATAAAAAAGAGCAAAAGACAACTGGGTAACAGACATAAAACAAATTTTAGAAAATTTAAATATGGGAAATATTTGGGAAAACCATAAATCTCTTGATGACAAACAAATCACCGAAATAGTAACGCGCAAACTAGAACAATCCTTTGAAATACATAGCACAGAAACATGATGACAATAAAGGTAAAGCCATAAAAACAAGTTACGAACCTATATACAATTAAAACAGAATTTGCATATGAAAAATATCTCACCACAATCAAAAATCCAAATCATAGAGCTGCTATGACAAAAATCAGAATAAGTGCTCATACTCAATTTTCTTCTCAATTGTATTCTATACAAGGAGGAACGAGAAATCATGATCAAGAATATTAAATACAATAAAAACAACTTGAGAACGAATGATGAACACCTTACAGATATACTAAAAAGTAAAAATGACAAAACAATCATTGAGCTAAGAAAATTCATTCACACTTGTTTCAAAATACGACAAGAAAATATCCAAAAATGCCAGATGCCTCAACCAACTACCACCAAATATATTTTTTCATTTTTTTTATTTACATTCAAATGTTTGTGATTGTCTTGTGTTTTTCTTGTCTTTTTCGGTTACTTTATTGTACTTTCAACTAAGTTCCCACCCTGGGATACGGTTTCAGTAAAGATTATTATTATTATTATTATTATTATTATTATTATTATTATTATTATTATTATTAGTCTGTGTCAGCCGGTCGCACACGTCTACGGACACAGGTGTCAATCACTCAGGGCCGTACGGCGGCGAGTAAATGAACAAACATATATATCATTGTGTCAAATATAGTGTTTAATCATGAAAAATTCAGTGTACATACAGTTTTTACAATTATTCAGATTCCAGACACGTAAACATTGACCTTAATTAGATGCAAGTGAACTCTTGTTTTACAGGTTTTATCGAATTGCCAATATACTGGTATAATAAAATAGCAATAAAACCATAACTGAAGGCGGGTATTCCACTCGATATGGCACAATCACTCAATATATGTCGGGTTTATTGCTTGAACACAGTGTGGTGGGTTAGTTACTTTCCTAGAAAGGGCGACTTATTGTTTAACTACAATTCCGGGTTTCAATGCCAATTTGCCATGATTGTAAATTTGTGATTGAGGTCTGTACAACACGTATGAATAGATAAATCGGTTGCCATAGCCTGATTTGGATGACACTATGTTTACTTTCACATAGGTTATATATATTAAATCACATAAACTGCAAGTACAGATCTTACCTTTTTCCCGTCTGTCGTCTGGTGAGTATGACCCGAGCATCAACACGCAAACAATAGCGAAAATTATTTATTTCAATCCATTTTATATTTATAGTGACTTAAACCGATTTATAAACATGAGTTAATGCGCATGGTAGGCAAGACTGAAATGTATAATTATGTCCATGGTGAATGCGCTTCACTAGACCACTTAAAGGGCGCCGCGCATGCGCGCGAGAGAGATTACCATGCTTTAATTAGGTGTTTTTTATGATTTTCGGAAGGTATCGAACAAGTGGCCGGCGTAATTAGTGCAAGTGTCGCCCAGGGCACAACTCGTACTCGTGATTTTATTAGAAAAGCGCATTGGATTGGAAAATGAATGTTTATCAACAAATACAAATATCGCACATGCGCAGTGCGACGACTACCGCCGGTTAAATGTATACAACATTAGGGGTTTCAGCCAATTTATACACTATGAAAATGAATTAACATATTTTTATGAAGTAACGGTTCGATTTCACCCCAACTATGTTTTTGAAGGCACCATTTTAATTTAAATAATTATAGGTATTTTTTTTTGTTTTTTACAACGTAATGTGAACAATGGAATTTGATGAAGATTACTTGTGTACATGTGTACATGTGTACTGAAAAACCCTCACTATATAAACCCACTGCAGAGTTCTATCTTTGGAAATCATGTGGTTTTTAATCTATTTTTGTGCTGAAACGCTGGAATAGAAAACCTAAAGCTTGTAAGGTTGTTATTTTTTCAGTTTGCAGGCAAATGTGTATGTTTTTTATTTCTAAATATTGGTGTTTTGTGTACGTGTCCTCTACTATTGTAATATGTACGTTGTGTGCATCAAATTGTATTTACCTTAAAATATTTAAAAGGTCAAATTTTAATAGGACAATTTTGCATCTAATAAAACTATGATCCAGAAATTTTCGTACATTTTTTACATTATCCTCTGTTATCATTTAGATGTATTGTTCTTACACTAATGAATATTGATTTTGTAATATATGTCCATATAACTCAGTTCCTGTGTGTTGACTCTTTTTTTTTCTGTTTTGTGGGAATATATAGTGATTTCAATTATTGCACTACCAAAAATAATAGGATATTGGAGAATTTTATTGGTCCATGAAATGATTACTTTGATACAATAATAGCACCTTCTTAATCGTAATTAAATAAATTCACCATTAAAATAACATTATTATTGAAACAATATCGAATTTTGGTCGAATAATTTTTGATTATATCATTATATAATTGAAATTCTCATTTGTTTCGTGGACGGCTTACTGGTCAGATTTTAAAGGTGAAACAAAATGAGCAATTAAGAGGATTTCTGATTAAGTAAAGTAAAATTTATGTGATTGCTAATCAAATCTGTGCTAGAGTTTATGTAAATGTTTTATATTTGGATAAGATTTTTATTGGAACTGAATTCTTTATGTTTGATATAGAATATAAAATAAAGGACAGTGGTCGTCGACCTGCGCATGTGCGACATTTGTGTTGATAAACATTGATTTTCCCCAAATCCAATGCGCTCTCTCAATGAAAATCACAATTATGAGGTTTGGCCTGGCCACGACTTGCAATAATTACCGCCAGTAACTCTTTCAATACCTTCCAATCACCTAAAAAATACTCAATTAAAGCTTGGTAACATCGTTGGTCTGTAAAACATTCAAAGTCGCCATCTTTGCTCATACGAGACCCACATATCTCGAGTATGCGTGGGCGACGACTAACGCCCTTTGATTAAAATAATTTGAGTAACTTATTTTCTAATTTTTGCTATTTACCCGAATATGCATTGTGTCTGTTTAGAAAAAAATATTCTGAGCGACAGGCTGATAAAAATGTGAAGCATCAAATACGAATGAAAAATCTGGTTGAACCAGTGGTGACGTGATTTTATTACAACTGTGTGTAGTACTAGGTCTATATTTGATGAGCAATCGTAAAATATTTGTTGAAGTATATCGACCTCACATAATTGTTCAACATGAGCTTTGACAAAAAGTTCCTTTCCTTGGAATATGTCACTGCAGATCTCGATCTTTATTAATGAAATGAAATTGGGTTTAGAATTTTCACGCCAGACATGGATTATATAGTTTTAGATTATGTCCTTTTCAAACTCAAATTATGTTTAATATGATGTGAAAATTCCCATTGAAATAAGTATTGATGGTGTTTTCACTCGGTGGGGACGCAATATATCTCCTGGATAATTTCAATACTGAGCTGACGAATACGCCCAGAATAGATATTCATTTTATAAAACATATCAGTGGTAATTGTCGCCAGATTTCGTCAGAAATACTATAGTACTTTCGTCCTGCTACCCTATACATTAAACGTACGCTTGCATACAATCGAATTCAACGAATCAATTGTAATCAAATATTCAGAATACTATTTTAAAACAAAACAAAACAAGAACGTTACTAAATACAAATCCCAGTTAGTTTCGTAAAGCAACCCAAATCATAATATGGCTACATCTGACGAGCATTACAAAAAAATCAGATACATTCTGATAATAATAACAATATTGAGAACATATAAACGAATTAAATTACAAATAATTGTTTTGCATGGATTATGTACCGGTTTTGTGACTTCTTCCACACCCACTTGCACAGTTTAAAAATGTTAAATAACTCTATAGACACTAGGCATGTACTGCCATGTAAAGAAATATAAAGTTACAAATTAAATTATTTCAAACATGTTGCTGAATTCGGCGCTAGAGTTTAATCTGTCTGTCAACAACGAATGACAGTATGATTTATTCTATGTTCATGTAAATCTGAAGTATTTTAAGTAAAAATAGAAATATACTTTAACATAGCAAAAATCAAACTTCTAATCGGATTATACATCACATGGATTGCAGCACTAGAAATAGAAGCATGTAGATTGCCGTAAAGATGACAATCGCAATAGAGAAAGTATAGTTTTGTGAATGGTAAACTGACGTCCAGATTCAGAAGAACATGCAATAGAGGTAACATCATTTTTTATAAATCCAGTGTGGTGGTTGTCCCTTGGCACATATAACATCATTGTTTTATTATTAATTAACTTTATTTATTAGATTAAATTACATTGGTTAAAACACTTAGCAGCAAATACTGAAATACATCGAAATACCATGAAACTTACAATTTGTTGTCTGCCATTTCCATATACAGAGGCATGACATGGTCAATGCACTGTTTTACTTCTTCTGGTAACTCTACGTTTATGTGAGATTGAGCTAGAAGCTGAAAGCAACTGCTTTCAATCGCGGTTTTGAAATACATTTCTACAAACTGTGGATTTTTCATACGATCAGGAAAATGGTGTATGTTTCCTGGTTTCCAATTTAAGAAGTTCTCACTGAATGAAAGACCCGTGGCTAAGCAATATTTTTGTAACGTTTTTCTTGGATTTCTTATCAAATCATCCGATTCTACGATTATTGCTGGTAGATTTAATTCATTTGTGACGTACTTATAAAATCTGTAATTTTCTACAAAACGATGAACCTCAATGACACATTTTACTACATCTCGGACACCATATCCCACACGGCTGCATTCCGCTAGAGCACACTTGTACGAGGACATGATGGATGCCTTTGGATCACGAATAAGGAATACGTGAATATACCCGGTAGGTAGGTATTTATAGTTTTTTCTTCCTCCAAGACACCCTGTGTTATCTTTAATGAAGATTGCACTCTTTTCTGGACAGGACGTTTTCTCTAATCTATCTTTCACTTCTTGGTATGTGTATCCAGGAACTGGAGGACCCTTACTGTAATCCTCAGGACATATTCTTTCTTCCCCTTCACAATATGCCATAGCAAATTGTTCATGAAAAACTGTAATTGAAGATTCTCCTGCAATTGCTAATTCAAATGCAGTTGATCTCGACCTGCCACGTGCCCATAACGCCACTCGCAGTGCTGTCGCTATATCGCAAAAACGAGCTGCCATTGTCACTCTATGCACAATAAACGTCGTCGACTAGCAACTGGAAGTCTGTAATGGAAATGAGAACAATAAATTATAATCCCATTGCTGGCATTTCTCCCAATAAAAACAATGTAACTTAATATACCATTTTAGAGAGCATGTGATATAGAATTCTGGGCAGTTAACTGATAGCTAGACTGAACCAGAATGACTGAACTACGAGTATGTTTTGCCTCCTAGTCTTATACATGAGTATGTGAACTATTCATTGATCATAACATTGATCACTTACATGCGCGGTATCATCAGTCACTAATCTGATGAAAATAAGATCCTAGTTTTGGCTTGTTTTTGTATATTTATTTTATTTTATTCTAGTATTTATTTTTTGAAGTTTTGGTAATTGCAAAAGCCAACAAGGATCTGACCCAATACCTTCTAATCTCGCATAAGTAACAGCCAATCACAGCCTCCCTTTTATACGGGCTGTCGGTTCTTACTTTTCAGTGTAGCGATACCTTGATACCTTGTACTGCGATTCACGCTCCGTATATTTTAAGCGAAGCTTGGACCCCCCCCCCCCCCAATACGTTTTGCTATATCCACCACTGTCCGTACATTATATTTTGCCCACTTGAATTAACTATTAATAGAAAATTACTTGTATATTTTTTTTAATTTAAAAAAGTAATTTCACAGCATTTTACAATTTGTGTCATCACATTGAATATGTTTTTCACTTCCAACAAATGTGTACACTTCCTGATGCATCTTCGCCAGCCAGGGTTCGTTTATGCAGTCATCGCTTTAACCAAACACTGAGCATAATTATATAGAATGGAAGCAAAAACATAAGTAAATCGTAATGATTAGAACACTGTAAACAGCTATAATAAACAATGCACACGGGTTTTAACATGTATAACGGTCACCGGCCCATGGCATCCACGCAGAATATTGGAGCAAAAAATATTTCCTGATCATCAATTGCAAAATATTTTTATTCCAGTCAGCTC